CCCCCCCCCGGGCGGCCCTGACCACCAGCCATTAAAACATGGCCATATGCCACACTAAGTGATTTGGGATGGATGCTGTATGTCCTTATGTGCATCTGTCACTCCAGCCATGTTCTGGTAGTTTGCTGAAAGTCCTGTTCATGATCACTGACTTGGTCCTTACAGCTTTGCAGTGACTCTGCTCTGTGACCCCATGGATGCAAGCAAGGATATTGGGCTGTTACTTGCAGTCAACTTCAGTGAGAAATCCATCACCCGGAATGCACAGATTGCTGGGAAATGGGGAAGAGAGGAGAAGAACATTCCCTACTTCCCATTCACAGCAGGGGACACATTTAAGGTATTCTTGTTAGTTATCAGGGGTGTAGTGGGAGAGACACTAGAGCGAGGGACCAGCTGAGTACAACACAGTGAATTTTATACAGTTGAAAGATGACAGATTGACGGCCCTGAAGAGTTAAGTCTTATTTATCCACCAAACTAGTACAGCATGGGGAGCGGCAGTGCAAGCTTCCCCCAACACCTCCTGACTTGGAGGAACCATCTCTATGGGCAAATTCTTTTTCCTGTTCATTGAGGATAATTTGCTGTAAGAGCTTTTCAGCAGAGAGAAGATGTTACTTACAGGAGACGTAGAGAAATTAGACAGACCTTACACTCCACTTTGTAGAGCACTTGGGGTTCCAAAGTCCAGGCTAGTGAAATAGACAGCCCCTGGTGCTGGCCTCTAATTCCTCCTTTGCCCTTGCTCCTTTGCAGATGGAGCTCTTCTGTGAGCACCAGCAGATCCGTGTCCTGCTCGATGGACGGCAGCTCTGTTATTTCACTCACCGCATTCAGCCCCTGCACTTGGTAACAGCTTTACAAATCTCAGGGGACATCAAGCTTACCAAGGTGGCTTGAAAAATGGACCCCACATCACCAATGAACTAAGACAAATGTACTTTCCCATGTACATAGAAGTGTTTTCTCTTTCCTTCTTGAGATTTTAAATGTGGACTTTGTTTGGGTTTGTTTGTTGACAAGTTTGAAATGTCTGCTTTTTCTCACAGAGCCTGAAGAGTGCAATGACAGGGTTAATTCAAGCACATGAGGCTCTTTGCAAAGCCATTCTGTTGGGCCTTCCAGACTGCAAAGCCTGTGATTCAGACAGTGTGCAGTCTTCTCTATCCTCATTGGCTCTAAATTGTTCTGCCATGCCACCTGGAGGGGCTCAGTCACCTGAGGATGGGTGGGGGTTATTACGTCACATATCTAGAAGTAGAGACTGGGATTTAGCGTGTAGTGGAAGGCAATCTGTTAAATAGGTGAGGAAACCTGTGATGTGCCCCAGCAAGGTCCATGTTAGAGGACGAGACACCCTATTACCCCAAGCTATGATCACAGTGCTCAGCCGTCAGCACAAAGCACCTTGTGCCTCACACCGTGGAGCAGTGAATGGCCCACTAGCATTTCCAACTGTCTGTAGTGGGTAGAGCCCTCATGAACTGGGAGCTATGTAGAGCTGCAGGTTTGGCAGTCTTGTCTTAACTGGCCCTGTGCAGCAACATCCGTACCTACATCTGCATCATCTGTTCCTATATCCAGCCAAATCTGCCCATTTACTGGCAAACCTCTTTATCTGCTTTACGAAATAAACATTTGAACCATCTGAATGTTGTGCTGATCATTTGCCCTGGTAGGTTTAGAAAAGCCTCCAAATATGTGCTTGTTATTATTATACATATATACACTAGACTGTGTACTTGATGTTTTGCAAACAGTGAAAAAAATACATTCCTTTCCAATGAGTTTCAATCTACATGTCTCAGGCTTCCATCCTTTTCCTGTGAAACTCTCCCTTAAAGCCAATGGGCCAGATTCTGATCTGAATTACCATGGTATGAATCTGGAGTAACTCCCCCAAAGCTAGTGGCCCGAAGACACAAGTAGCAGGGACAACTCAGCACATGACTGGTGGTGATGATGCTGACACTGCTCCTGCCTTGGGTCTTCTTCCCTGGCTCCTCTTCCCATTCCTTCCACACATCTTCATGCACATTACCAGCCAAAGGCCTCTGCCTCTCTGCGGGCCTTGTTGTGTACTGCAGTCCCAAAATGTGCATCTATATAAAGTTCAGGTAATTAATGAATGGCTGTAATCAGGGCTGGTTCTAGGGGTGGGTGAGCAAGGCAGTTGCCCTGGGCCCCAACTTCCAGGGAGTGCAAATTGCTGTGCTGCTTGGCTTTTGTTTGTTTTCTCCCCTCTCTCTCTGCGCCCGATTGGCCAGCTTTCCACATTCCCCACACACTTGGGCACATGGGGTGAGAGGTGGCAGGGGGGGCACCAAAACCGTTTTTCTCCCAGGAAAATGTCTAGGACCACTGATCGTTGTAATAGAGGAAAAGGGGGAAATCCTCTCTGAAGAGAGAGCATTTTTTCAGTGTATAGCTTGGTGGACAGAAAACTTCAACTCAACAGGATGGGCCTGTGGTTAAAGTACTGCAATGAGACTTAAGAGACATGGGCTCCATTTCTGGCTCTGCCATCAAACTTCCTGTGAGAGTTAGTGGAAGGCATGTACTACAGTATTTTCAAAGGGCTTCTTTTGGGCACTGCAGAAAATATGGCTGCCAGCTATGGGTGTTCAGAAAACAAGGAGAATTTTCTAAAATAATGTGGGCAGTCTATGTTCTTTGAAAATATGCTTTCAGTATTAAGCATGCTCCTAAATCAGGGGTTCTCAGCACCTAGGTGATGGGGTGGTCCCCGTAGGGAAAATGAGGTGCTGGTCAGAGGTGAAAGTAAGCCGGTACGCCCCGGTACGGCGTAACGGCAAGAGCCGGTGCACCATACTGGGGCGATCCGGCTTCCCCAGGTGGCAATTTAAAGGACCTGGGGCTCCTAGCATCGGCTGGAGCCCCAGGCCCTTTAAATTGCCGCCAGAGCCCCACTGCTGGAGCCCTGGGGCAGTGGCTGTAGGGCTCCGGGGGTTATTTAAAGGGCCGAGGCTCCCGCTGCCTCTACTGCCCAGGGCCCTTTAAATAGCCACTGGAGCCCCGCCGCCGCTATCCCAGGGCTCCGGGGGCTATTTAAAGGGCTGGGGCGGTAGAAGCAGGGGAGCCCCAGGCCCTTTAAATAGCCCCCAATCCCTGCTGCTGGAGCCCTGGAGTAGCAGCAGCAGCCAGGGGCTCCAGCAGCAGTTTAAAGGGCCCGGGAGGTAGCAGCTGCCGAGCCCTGGGCCCTTTAAACTGCTGCCGGAGCCCCCGGCTGCTGCTGCTACCCCAGCGGGGGTGGGGGCGGGCACTTACCGGTACAGGGCGGGCTGGGGCTGGGGCTGGCTCTGACCCTCCCCCATCCCCGCCCCTTCTGCCCCATCCCTTCCGGGGGCCAGAGCCGGCCCCAACCCAGCCCCATACCGGTAAGTCCCTGTTTCTACTTTCACCCCTGGTGCTGGTATGCCCTGAGAGGGAAATGTTCAGAAGGCACAAAATGGCTGTTGGGCACTTGTCAATGGGACTTAAGAGCCTATTTTCTATTCGTGCCTTTGAAAACCTCCCTGTAAGTCAACAAGCCAGCCTTTCTACTTTAAGTGAGTCTTTCCATGTGAAGGGTTTTGTGAATTATGTTGGGGAAATTATTCCATAACAATGCTATTCTGGCACAGATGTTTGGGATTGTGGGTGAAATTTGGGTAAAAAATGTATTTGTTCCTTGGGTGAAGTACCATTATTTCCCCACCTCTTGGTCTGACCTCTGGGAAAGATCATGTGAAAAGGGTAAAGCTGTTTCAAATACCCCATTACTAGATTTAATATGATTAAGGGTCAAGTTTACTAGAAAAGTGCAACATTTATTGGTTTGAAGTAGAAACAACAGTAACTAGGATTAAATGATTAGTTATCAGTCCTTTGGTGCAACTCAAACTGATCTCCAGCTGGGTTCAGGGAGAAAAGCTCCCCCTTACAATGCATTGTTACACAGCTGCCTAGGTGGATTGTGGGGTTCTCTTCTTCTTCTGATATTTACAGCATTGGCCACTGTCAGAGATCAGATACTGGAGTAGATGGGCCATGGGTATGATCAGGTATGACAAATCCTATGTTCCTACAGCACCATGAGTTTTTCCAGCACAGCAGGAGGCTGGATCCTGGAGTAGGTGGATGAACAGATCGCAGTTTTTTTCCAGTGTGGTATTCCCTGAGGCAATCAGAGTGCAATTAAGCAAAAGACTCTGTGGTGTTATGTCAAGGGAGGTGGCCTCAGAAACCCGTGCTTGTGCTGGTTCTGGCCCAACCCACGGTCCTTGATTCAGTCACTGTGACTGCAGTAGACATGGGCTACTGGAATGTACGAGTCTCATAGCAAAGGGGGATCAGTAAGGCTTTTCTGCTTTAGGGTGAAGCACAATATGGATCTGCCAGAGGTAGATTGGACACCTGGATGAAAAGATTTGCTCTTCCATCTCATGATCAGCTATCCCAGAGTCAATACTCCCAGCAAAGACAGCAGCAAGCTTACTCATGAATATCAATTATTCACCCTGATCCCTATTTGGGTACAGAGTCCATATCTTGCTCATGTCAGCCGCTTGATGGCCTCAATCCACTGTGCTCGCTCTGCCTTGGAGCTGGCCTGGATGTAGTAATGAACATCATTTTTAGTGATGATTTTGAAGAGGTTGCCCTGCACATTCCCCTTCACCCCTGCAGAGGAAGAGTGCAACAAGTTAGTGGTGCATGTAGAGAATTGGTTTGTGGCAGGTGTATGTCTCATTGAGGGTGGAATTTGAGTTTAGCATAACTAAAGGTACTAGTAGATCTTACTGTGTGATTCTGGACAAGTCCTTTAATTCTTCCGTGCCTCAGTTTCTCTTGGGAATAATAATACAAATCTACCTCACAGGGATGTTTTGTGGAATAACCAGGTAATGTTACACACTGTGAACACATAAAGCACTATCTAAATAGTGAATATTATTATTATTGGTGTTAGATACTATGGTGATGGGTTCCTTAGAAATCCCTACAATAAATTAGATTTAATCTCCTATCTGCTCTTGCCCATCATCAAGCTTCCTTTACATGGGGTTATATTCACCATTCTCACCCTCACGGTTTTCTTTTAAAGGCGCTGTCTCACTGCGTCACTTATTATTAAGGCTGCATGTTTGTCACTGAGGTTGCGGAAGTGGTGTGGCTGATGTGGCTGACCCCAGGGGGCCCCCCACAGCAGCGGCTGGCCCGGGGGGACCCCCACCTAAGTTTTAGTCAGGGGTATTTATAGTAAAGATCTTGGACAGGTCACGGGTCGTAAATTTTTGTTTATTGCCCGTGACCTGTTCATGACTTTTACTAAAAATATCCATGACTAAAACTTAGTCTTACTTATTATTCAGGACAGGGAAAGAAGGGAGGGAAGCAACCTCTCAAGTCTCTCTCACCAGGAAGGGTTTTCCCATTTGAGACCCACATTTGCTGTCCCACACTAATCTTGTGCTCATTTGCTTTCATACTATAAATTATTTTGACAGCAGGAACATTGAATCACAAAGCTGAGATTCCAGACAATGTTGTTTAAGCTAAACAAATTCACCCTTCAATTACAGCTTTTTCCACTGTTATATTTAGTGTCCACTACATTTGGACCATGGCAGGTACGGAGGAAAAAAGATGGTGCCAGTAGGGAGCATGGAAAAGAGGGGATGTGGGACAAGGGATGCCTCTGAATAAAGAGCTTAACCTTATCCCAGCAAAAAGGAATTGCCCCCTTTACTATTAACTCTCCGAAGTATCAGCCAATGCCCTATTCTCTTCCCATGATTCATGTGGAGACCGGACTGACAAGCCCAAGCAAAAAGCAAAAGGGGAAAGAGGCAACTCTTGGTGTATCCAAAAGTAGATCTAAACAGTCCCCCTGACCCAGCTCAATGGTATTGGGACAGGTATATCATCTTCAGTCCCCTACCCCTTTTCCCATTTCCCACAGGAGGCTCAGGACAGATTTGCACCACAATAACAAAAGTCGTGAATTAAACTGATTCAATTATTTCAGTGCAAATCTGGGAGTAGACCAGCCCTCAGTAACCAAAGCAGGCAGCCTAAAGGTTCATGCTTACCAGTTGGGACTCCATTATCCTCCAGAGCTGAGACAAGGCAGCCACGGAGAGAAAACCCACCAACTGGTCTGTTTTCTTCCTGTAGGGAGAAAGTAAAATGGGGCCCAGTTGGAAGAGGTAAGAATTAGAACCCTTCCCTGAGGCAGACATACTTGATAGTGGTGAAGACACGAGACCACACTGAACATTTTGGATCTAAAACAAGTGCGTCCATGTTTCGGGAGAGCCCTCCCAGCACATTGATTCAGTTGCATCATTTTCTCAGCCAGCGCTGTTCTCCTTAATACAGTTGTGGGAGGTTAGTTATTTAAAGGGACAGAGCTAGGATAACAATCATGTTTAAAACCTATTCTCTGTTTTACCAACAACATCCGACAACTTTTAAAAATCCATTAAACTTTCCCCTGTTGATGCTATTTGTTCATTTTATACTCTTCACTCAGCCAGGACAGTGAGAATTGATCAGTTTTGCTTTCAGGCTCTCTTGTGTTATCCCAGGACTGTGCCAAAAGTTTGGGTTTATAGCACTTTTGGCGAAAAGTTCATTGTTTGGTCTATTTAAATGTCACTAAAACATTTCTAGCCACATGCTATTTTGTATTGTACTGGGCTTCACTGCATCGTAAACTCAGTGGTAGCATTGTTTATCCATATACATAAGCTCTGCTATTCATTATACTGAATTATACTAGAACTGAGTAGCAGAAATTCCCATTAGCACTCTGTGATCAGGCCTCGTTCAAGGTTACAATAAGGAGGACAAGAGAGCAGAAAAATCACAGAGGTGATGTAGCTTCAGGATGGGAAAGAGTCAGCCCAGAGAGGACACAGCCCCAGGAGCAAGAAGAATCCCAGACGAGACATAGCCCCAGAGCGGGGAGTGTGAGAGAGGAATCCCAGAGGGGAGATGGCTCTGGGGACAGACAGAGGAATCCCCAAAGAGCTAAGGCATGAGGGAGAATGTGGGAGGAGTAAAAAAAAAATCACAAGGGATGTGGCCCCCGGGAAATTCCCGAGAAGTCCCAAGGGGAATGAGTGGAGGAATTCAGGGGGCACATGGCCCTGGAGAGGAAGTGGAGAGGGCAGTCCTAGAGCCCAATTTCCTATGTGGTTGACTGTATTACTATTACAGGTTTGTAGGAGACATATACATAGATCAGGTGTCTGAGATCAGCAGCTCATTGCTCACTCACCTTTGTCGGGTCGTAGTAGTGCAGGAAAGCAGGATCAGCCCTCAGAACAAAACGTCTCACCTTCCAGTTTTTCCTCTTGTGTCCCTGAGAAGCAAGAGAGATGAACAATTAACCCTCTCATTGTCATTGTGGTTGCCCTGTATTGGAGGCACCTCCCCGTGTAACTATGAAACTTCCCATGAAGACCCTAAGCTTTGGCTTTCAAGTACAGTCAAAGACAATGGTGGTAACAGGCCTAGGATAGAGGTCTTCCCTGAAATCTTGCCTCTCTGCTGAACCACAATATGAACTTCCTTCCCCGGGGCAGTGCATGCTGCACACATCCACCTGTATTTAGCAATTTTACACCTATAGGGATATGCCCAGATTTCTTTTTCTGTCAGGGTAGACATTACTACAGAATAATTGTAAAGGAAAAGAAGGGAAGAATCTAGGTGAAATTACTTGACTCCTGTCCCTTATCTTGGAGCCTTCAAAACAAAGCTATTCACTCTGAGTGCTCTGATAATTCATGGGATTCCAGGCCCTTTTGGATTGCTTCACCCCCTCTTTCACAGTGTCAGTGAAAACACTTCAACCCTGGAGAAAGGAAGGTGCATCTAGTACCCCATCACCCACACTGGCCAATGCTTCACATACAACTCCAGAAAGACATTTAACAGCAACACATGTAGTGAGATTCCCTTCACCCAACCCAATGGGTGATCAGTTTATGCTATCAAACCTGAGGATTAACAGCAAGCTTGTTCTAGCAAGTATCATAAACTATGTTTTACAAACTAAGGGCATGAGCTTGCAAGCAGTTATTCATTCACACATAATTACTTATATTTGAAGTCAATGGGAGCAACTATATGGACATGAATAACTGCTTGCACGAGTAGGTTCTACACATACATGAGTTAGCTGCATACAGACTGAGTGAAGTATCTCAGTGAGGGGACACAACATGACAAGTTAGGGTAGGTAATGAGGAATAGTGCAGCCCCTTGAAAGTGAATGTAGTTACTCAGGATAGAATCTGGATTTTGGGCAGGACCCCTGTGCTCTTCTGGAAATTATTTTATAATCCTCAGTAACATCCCTCAGCAGTGAGTTCCACCACTCACTTATTTATATCAACAAATAGACTCTCTTCTCATTTCCAACTTTGCTGTTTACTCTGCAGTATTGGTAACATGAAAGCTAATTCTGTTGGCCATATGACAGGTTAGGACAGGTAATGAGGAAGAATAGTGCCTCCCTGAAAGTGAATGTAATTATCCAGCCTTGCTCTCGGCATTCAGCTTTACCCTCCATGCAGCCCAGAGAACAACTAGAGTCGGTTTTCTCAATTCTTAATGAGATGTGATGTTCAAGTGTCATATTTACCTGTTTTACTAAATATCCTTGTTTTACAATTGTTCCACTTAATTCAAGGATATGGAGGTGCAGTTCTTCCCGGGAGCTGAGTTTCCTCTTATAGCTTTCAGCCTGCAAATGGAAAAAAATTGTAACTGGAAAAGTTTTGGTTAATCTGATGAACACTAATTAAACAATATACAGAATAGCTTTGTACTGACCTCGCAGTCTTCCACAGACCTGTCATTAACACATTATTTTTTCCCAAAGATATGTAAGCAGAGTCAGGATGAGCTCTACCCTGACATCTGGTGGTGAATTATGGCGAGTGTGGAAAAGAACTCCAGGGGCTGATCTTGTTTGCATAGGCACACCCACTCGCCTGGCATGAAACACAGCAACTGAAAGTGGTTACTTTGGCTGGTGTGGGATCCCCAGTTTCTCTATTATTGGGGCAGGAAGAATAAAGTTTTGTTACCCTGATTCTGTGAATCAAGGCCAGTGGAACTGTTGTATGACAGAAGGACTGAGTGAGTCCTTCACCATTACCTAAGTAGCACTTGCTTGACAAGGGGCATGGGTTACAAAACCCTGTGAATTGAGAGAGGATGGGGACAGGTATTTGTACCTGATGGTATGGGCCCCCTCTGAGGGTTTGAAACACCAATTGCACCGCCTCCTCTCTCCACTGTTGAATGTCAGAGCTAAACTTTGATTCTCTTAGGAGTCTAGTTACAGGCTGCTGAGCTGAATTCACTTTGGGCCAATGGTGCACCAGCACTGGGGCTCCCCTACTATACTATGAGCTGAAATCGCTAAGAGCTGAAATCACAAAAGAGCAGATGTTATTAAGACCTGAGATCACTGAGTGCTGTGCTAACTAGTGGGGGAGCCTGAAGCTATATTGCTCAGCAGCTGGCGGAGCAATTTGTGGGGACGACTGGAGGAGCAGTGAGCGGCGTGGAGCCTTGCGGGGCCGGTTGGAGTGGCCTAAGGAACCGCGAGCGGAGCTGTTTGCGGGGACGGCTGGAACGGCTCACAGGTCGGTGAGCGGAGCGGAGTGGAGCGGAGCAGCTTGTAGAGCGGAGCAGTTCGTGGGATGGCCGGAAAGTGGACTGGCTCGTGGTAAAGGCTGCGGCGGAACCCCCACGGAGAAACAGATGGCTGGCCAGCCTCGGATCACGTAAGGTGCCCCTTAACACCCTGCGTGCCCCCCCCTTTTACTCTGGGGCTGCACTGACCAGGGACAGAGACTTTGGGGGTTGTTGGACTTTTGGGACTTTGGGTGGTTGCTGGACCCAAGAGACTTTGGGGGTGTTGGACTTTGGGGACTCTGGGTGATTTTTGGGTTGCTGGATTCAAGAACCAAAGGGAAAGGACACAGCCCAATTTGCTGGGGTGGGTTTTGCTCATGGTTTGTGTTATGAATCCTATTTGTGGTGTTTTTCCAATTTTATGCTGATGTCGTTTACCTCATGTTATTAAACATTTTCTGCTACACTCAGACTCCGTGCTTGCGAGAGGGGAAGTATTGCCTCTTAGAGGTACCCAGGGGGGTGGTATGTAATTGTCCCAGGTCACTGGGTGGGGGCTCGAGCCAGTTTTGCATTGTGTTATTGAAACGGAACCCCTAGATACAGAACCCGGCCCTTGTTGCTGCCAACTAGATGGGCAGAAGGGTTACAGATATATATCCAATTCCATATGCCTATTGCACATCTCCTCAGTTGTAAGAGTACAATGGACAAATGAATAACCACAAAACAACACACACACACTTACAATAGCCCTGATTTTTAGCAGAGCCTCAGCCTGGCCACCACTAATGCAAACAGAGTTAGCGCTAGGGACTACAGCTATACCCAGTTAGATGCGTAACTCCCCTATTTGTAGGTGCCTCCATAACCAAAATTTAGCCATTCACCTCTGAGGGAAGAAAAAGCCTTGGAAAGTATTAAAAAGCCCAAAGCTTCTCATTTTTAATTTGTCCTTCATATTTTTTTCACCTTTTATATATATTTTGCCATTTGGTACATACAGTGTGTCCCCTTCACCCTCACAACCTCTTTACCAGCTGTGGTGGGGCAACTGCCCCACCCCCTGAGAAAAGGGCTGGAACAGGCCTTTGAGACTGCGCAGACTGGCAGCCAGTCAACGAAGGCCTGTGGAGGGCCAATCAGGGGAAGGAAGAGGCAGCTAATCAGGGCCGGGCAAGGCCCTATATAAAGGCTGCCTAGCAGAGGAGAAGGGAGTCTCTCCCTGACTAGCGAGGGAGAAGGACCGGCTCCTGAGGTAAGGAGCTAGCACCTCAGATGGAGCAGTGCTGGGCAGGCTCAGGGGAACAGGAGAGCACTCCAGCCCCATTACCTGCCAGGCTGCGGACCCTGCTACAAAGGGCCGAGGAGGTGCATAGGGTCAAAGGGGAAGTGGCCCAGTGAAGAAAGGCGGACAAGAGGGGAACGAAGGAGGGCAGAAAGAGGCTGCCGCTAGAGGGTCCCTGGGTCAGGACCCAGAGTAGCGGGTGGGCCTGGGTCGCCCTGTTCCCCCCTTATACTGCACCTGGCCACAGAGGACTGTGGCCAATACAGACTGCAACTTGCCCCTGAGCTAAGGGGCTAGACTTTGGGTTGTGGTTGGCCACTGAGGCAGGTGCGAGTCCCAAAGACTGCTGTTAACCCCCCTGCGGAAGGGGGTGAGACTGGAGTAGTGGGCACTGCCAGAGGGCAGTGTCCTGAAGAGGATGCCGCCGAGCGGGGAGCAACCCGGGTCCCAAGGCAGCAGAGCAGACAATGGGCAAGACACCACGCGCAGAGGGTGCTCCATGACTGGACAGAGCTAATTCTTGGAACAACCAGCGGGAGTCGCCAGCGGTGGTGAGTCTTGACCCCGTCACACCAGCCAAAAGCGAATCTGAGTCAGGAGGGATAGGGAGATCCTACTGCTAGAAGCCACATTACTTACAAACGTGTACAGTGCTGTGGAGTCATCTAGGAACTGCTCAGCCAGATCACCATTGCGCATGGCTTCAGTGCTCCGGGCTCCAACAGGCTTGGTGAAGTTTTCTTCCATCAGCATGGAGGCCAATGTCACAGCCTCAAATCGAGAGGCAACAAAATTACTGGAGATCAGCCAGTCCACCAGTGCAGAACCTACAAAGAGAAAGGCACCTCTCAGACAGAGAGACACAACATGCTTGCTCATCACAGAGACACACAGACAGACAATTCCTGCCAGCTGGCCCATCCTGGCTTTATCATGATGGCAAAGATATCAATGTCAAGCATAGGCAGGATTCACCAAAGGCGCTGGGTTCTACATTTGCTTCTATATTTCTAAAGAGAGGGGGATAAATTTATAATTGAGGAACTTTTTGAGGCAGGGCATAGATGGGCCAGTACATTCTGTTTGCCATAATCTCTTCTTGTTCGTGTATAAAAACTCCACAGTGGCTCCGTTTTCTCTGCAGCACAGTCAGGCATTGGGAGGCTGGTTGTCCAGAGCTTATGTACCTGTAAAGCTTTCTTTGTATGTGTTGCCTTGTTCCATGTTGGGGATCAGTTTAATTCCATTACTGTTATCATGCATTTTGTCCACTATGTGGCTGTAAAAGAGCAAAAGAGAGCAGTGTGACATGGATGGACGGGAATACAAGCAGGGACTGTTATATGACCTAAAGCCACAATTGATCAGAGCTGTTTCAAGGATAAGGAAATGAGTTCTGCCCCAATGCAGGGCAACGGACTAGACACCTACTGAAATTTCCTTCTAAACAGTGTGTAGGGGAAATGGACTAATCGTCCCACCTGAGGTCCCATAATACAGAGCAATAGACTAGATGGGTCATTGAATACCTTTCATTTCAAAGTATCCTAGGAATGGGTGGGAAATGTTTACACTTACTTGAGGCTGATGTTTGAGGGAAGTTTGAAGGAATTTTTCAGTCTGTGAAGCTGCTGAATCTGCACTGGGTGGCCAGCATGAATGGCTCCAGTAATGTCCAAAGCCCAAGAGTCCCGCTCTTCTCTGGAGCAAGATTCAAGGAAATATTCTGTGTTGGTTTTTGTCTTCAGCTTAATGACCAGCTATGGGCAGAAAAGTACAAAACCAATAAGAGCATTTATCTAACACACATGGAATGTTCCCCTGATGCCCTGCCTCATGCAATAGAAGCCCCATCAACCACTGCAGGGAATCCTGATCAGTTCATTGCTATAAGGACACAGGTCACAGCTCAAGTCTCGGGGTCAATTAGCTCCAAGTAATAGCTGTATGCCCAGAGCCCAGTGTACTCAAGAAAGTGGATTGGCCAGAGATTATCCAGATAACACAGGTATCTACAACTGGGAAATGGAGTTTTCACATCTACGTTCATGGTTCAAATCTGCCCTACATTGGTAACATCTGAATGACATTGCTATACTCATTCTAACAGATGTACTGAAATACAGACTCAGCAATATATATTTACACGGATTTGTACCAGTCAGGGGAAGGTTGCATTGCTGCTGCTCACTTGTGGCTAGACACAGAGAGGACTTCATGCTCCAGAAACTTTCAACAGCAGCAAATTCTCATTAGAAAATAAATAAAAGGAAGAGGCATACTGGGTTGGCTGCTAGCCCAGATGCACAGTTCAGAGAAGGCAAAGAATAAAGCTAGAGCATAGGTTCAACCATTGGGGAAGTTGAGGGAAACATATTCCTTCCTCTTTCTCACCCTCCCCAGTTACTATGCTGTTCATGTCCTTCTCGGTGTGACTGCAGGGCTGATGCATTTTCATCCATATCCAACTCTCCCCTCCACAGACTTTTTTTTTTTTTTTTTGGTATATGATTGCACCTCTGAGCTGGAGTGTTCAGAGAAAAACAACCAGAGTGGAAATCCTCAGAGACAGGATAAGGAAATCCAGTAGTAACACCTTGACCTGGCCTTCTCTGCTGAAAAGCTGATCAGCATCAACTGGTCCCAATTCTTGAGAGGCACGCAGGGGCAATAGAGCAAGAGATTGAGGAAGTCAAGGGAATGAAGGGGAGAAACCAGAGAATAAAAAAGTCATTGCAAAGAAAAGAATGGTGATGTGATGTTTCAAGACATACCGGTCTGTTCTCATACTCCAGGCACGGGCAAGTGATAGTGCAACCATCCAAAATGATCCTGCCCTTAGGAGAAGGCTCCTTCCTGCCTCCATCAAGTTTATAATACAGCAGCTTGTCCTGCAGCAGAACAAACCATCTTGCTTTCCAGTTATGGACAATATGTCCCTATACCAAAAGAAATGTCCTTGGTTACTTTAAAGACAAGTTTAGAGGAGTATTTCTCTTTACACCTACCTTTCTTTTGCATAGAGACATGGTAACACTCTTATTATCCTTATATGCAGACATATTTTTAGGAGTCTCATTGGAATGGTTGTTATGTATGTTGTGATAATACAACCAACAAATCTGGAGAGAGACTGCAATGGACTTCCTTGTGGACCATTACCCTGGAATTTTGATAAATGCCCCAAATTATTTAACCAAAGTCATGCTAAGGAGAGCTTGATGCATGCTGGGAACTTTGTTTTCTAAACTGACTCTTGCTGATATCTTTTGAGAATGTTCAAGGTCATATTTCTTATGAGTTAGATTGTTTCGATTAAAAGACAAATCTGGAAAGGACTGCTAGTGGCAGCTGGGTAGTTTCCCATGGACTAAAAATATAAATCCCAAAGTGATCTGAAATCAAGAGGGCTTTCCCCCTGCCCCCTTTTTGTCAGATTCATTGTTTGCCTTGTGTGCAGCTCTTTCTCCCACCAAGAGGAAGGCAACTGCAAATTTATCAATTTACCACCACCAGAAACTCACAAGTTGAGCTTCAAGTTTCCTCTGTCAATATGTCTCCTCTGTCTTTATAAAATCATTGAACAAAGAAGATGCAATTTTTGCTCTTTCCCAAACATGGGCCTCATCTCTGATGGCGAGAATATTTCTGGCAAAAGCTCGAAGCAGATGAGTGACTCAGAGGAACGACCAGTCTGCAACATTGGGAACAGGGAGCTGGGTTTTGAGCAGGATTTACTGTATTGTAACTCTGAGTTGGAGTCACTGGGAGTTCAGAGTGCTCAGCACCTCCAAGGATCCAGCCCGCTGGCAGCAGTAGCGTGGCTATTGTTTGATGAGTACATTTCAGTTTAATTCTTTATCAGTTTTGCACGTTGGTAGGTTCCATGGTTCCAGGAAACCTTGAAAACTCTTGACTGAACAGCTGGGTTTTTTCTTACATTCCCCTAATGCAAATTGGTGCTTAGTCATATCAGTGACTGCTGCCCATTGGTGCTGCTGCCCATCTCCTGTGACTAAACTGCTCACTATGCTGCCGTTTCCTGTGTGTTCCTTTCATCCCAACCAAGTGAAGGCTGCTAAACTGCCAAATGCCTCTTGTGCTATAGTGCTGGGATACAAACGAAAACCTCTGTGATCCAGGAGTGTGAATAATTGGAGCTCTAAGGCTGGTTTTAAAGGAGAGCTTGCCCAGGGGAGTGGCACAGACATGCCCGGTCCTGTCTTGTGGTGGCAGTTCTGGCTTTATGGTGCAGTGGAGCTGACTTTACATATTTCACAAGAGATGAAGCTTTACAGTTAGTGAGTGAGGCACCAAGGTAGTGGAGTCTTCACCATGTTAAAAAAGGTGGGTAAGGCAGAGACTGGGGAACGTGCAAGGTCCAGTCACTGCAGGAATCATTAATGTGTTTGGGATTGGGAGGGAACATTAACGATTTCTATGAAAACTGGTGTAATGTGGTTCTCTCAAACCTGACTAAGTCTGAAGACATCTTGTCCATGCTAAACAAAAGTTAACTGGCTGGATCAGCCTTTGGTTTTGTTCCCTCTCTTCCTTCACTCCATTTTTTCTTTCCTTCTCTGTCTTTTTCCAGTGCCTGTGGATTCCCTCAGCTACTTTTCTTCCAATTAACATTGTCTGTTTTTTAGCTGTTTTCTTCTTTCTCCCTTTAGTGAGTCAGTCTCTCTCCTTCATGTATTTTCCCCCGTCTCTTACATGGCCTTGTCTTGTGTTTATTCGTAGTCCTTCACTCTGGTTTTCCTCTCTTCACTTTAATGAATCTCTACCTCTTTTTTTTTTTCCACGCCATTTCTCTCACTCAGTCCCTCAATCTCTTTTCTCCCTTCCTCTCTCTCCTACTCTATATTCCTTCCTCCTTTTCACCCCTTCCCACCACCTCTCCAGCTGGTGCCCTTAGATCTTCCTGCCCACCTCACCTCCACCGCTACAGTTGGACCAAGAGGTTCTCCATCCACTCCCTCCCCTGTGAAGACCAAAATGACTGCTGCACCCATCCAGGCAGTGCTTAATTTGCAATGAAAGAGGTGCCAGGGCTCAAGTAATTTTTTTACATTCATAACTGATGCAGCAAGCCCAGAGCTGCCAGGCTATGAACTGCCAAGCCTAGAGGTGCTGGGCTCAGCCCTGGCAAGCCCCGGCACAAATTAAGCACTGCACCCAGGGCAGCCTCACAGCTGCTCTGGTGCATTTATGCCTCCTGGGTAGAGCTGAGTGAAAATTGGAATTTCCATTCAACAGGAAATTCTGCTATTTCAATGTTTTTGTCCCACATTGGACAAAAGGGTGAAATATCAAGTTTTTTTGCAGAATGAAAAGTTAAAAAAAAAGTGATTAGGAAACAAAACATTTCACTTCAGCCTTTTCAATTGAAACAAAACATTTCAACATTCCCAAAATCAAAGTGTTTAGCTTCAGTTTCTTGAACTGACCAGTTCAACTTTCAACTATATTTCCCTATGATGGCACATTGACTCATGGGAGTTGTTGTTCAGTTCACCTGATACCCCCCATTCTCCCCTCTGGGCAAGGCTCCCTGGCTGGACAAACCCTATCATGCACCAGTAGTCACGTCGCTGCCATGAAACTCCATACTGCTCAGAGGGAAGACTTCACTGCATGACGAGAGGGGTAGACTGGCCAGGGACCCCAGCTCATAGGAGAGAACGGGGGCCTGAACTACAACTCCTATGAGGCAATGCACCATACTCAGGAAATTCATTTTTCTGTTGAAATGACTCAAAACAAAAGGTTCTGGGGCCATTTTACAATCCAAAATATTCCAGTTCAGGCCAAACCCACCTAAATGAAATATTTAATTTAAAATTTTCCAACAGAAAGGGAGGGGAAAAAAGCAGCAAAAGCTCTGCTCCTGGGTGTTCTCAGTGAGGAGCAGAGGTCACCATCTTCCCTGGCTGAGAATGGCTGGCAGACAGTGGGGAGCTCTTACTACCTGAGCTGCCTTGGGAGCCCTGCTTGGGACACACCCTTCACATTAGCACCAGTGATGCTGCTGTATAGCGCACAGAAGCATTTCCCAAGGTGGCTTAAGCCTCACAAACCCCTGATCGGCATTGCCCTTTCTGTATTAAAATAAAGACGATTATTAACAATTAAGACAGACCCATAATAACAAGCTTTTGCTGCTGCTGCCCAGAAATAAGTTCCCCTTTCCACTACTGGTTGTGATCCAGCCCTGCAAGGGGGTGGGAAGACCTGCAACACAGATCTTCTTTTGGTTGCTGTCTCCGTGGTTTTAGCTGAAAGCATCTTACGTGCAGCTGTGAGAGTGTGTCCTGTTTCATAATGTGCCTGCATTCATGCTCATGTTCTGATCTTCCATAAAGCGGATACTTTCTCTTTCTTTCTGAATTTCCCCTTGCACAGGCTGTGGAACGCAAAATGCCAATCTAGTTAGCCCCCAAGAGGCTCTAAGCCGCTTCCAAGAGTAGAGATTGAAAGCTTCACTCCTCACCCTAACCCCCACCTCCATCCCTTTGCTACCACCAGGCTTCTGCTAGGTTCCTCTACCTGCAATTTGCTGAGGAATGTTCTGGTGAGTGTATAATGTTGTTGTTTTTTTGATAACCAATGGCTCTTCCACCCACTATGAAAACCTTGGTGCAGGGAACCAGAACCAGGGAGGTTAACTCTATAAATACATGCACCTTAGACAGAAGTTTTGTGGTTGCATTTAAAATGCATCTACCAATTCGAAAGATTTTACACATTTGAGAGACATTCTCTTTGAAGAATAGAGACTACCAGTAGAACCCATAACTACTTTCAAATACTTGCCTGGCTCCAGCAGACCCGCACTTCAGACGCAACAGTCAGTTATAAGAGTTAAGTCAGTCTAAATATGTCAGTTTCAAAAGAAATCCAATTCCTGTCTTGACTGAGCTCTTACCCTTTTAACGAGGAATCCCTCCTTCAATATTCCACTCACATCCTGCATCCTGGCTGCCAAGTAAAGAAGGTTGAGTGTGTGCTGCAAAGTGTTTAAGCAGTTGCCAACTGTCCCTCTGCGCAAGGTTTTTAAAGAGGACTGATTTCTCCAGGACCTTCCTCCTCTGTGACGTCTCTTTCCTGCCCAGCCTTTCCCTTCCCTTATCCTGCTTGTGAGACAGTAGTTAAACATTGAGCTGGCACAGCACCTGCCCTCAGGGAAATGCAGAGCAGTGAAAGTTCAACAGGATTGCAGTGCTGATTCCATAGAACTTAGTATGGTAGAAAAACACCCATCGGGTGACTCAGGACAAGCAGCTGCAAAATTATATGAATCAGGGAAGAGACAGGTATTCTGTAGGTGGAAAGTGGGGGAGGGGAGGAGTAGAAGCTCTATTATTCAGTCCATCAAGATTCCAGAGAGTTCAGTATGTGATATGAAGTTTCTCCTCACAAATAGGTACAGGGATACGAGAGAGACAAGATGAGGAAGGTAATATCTTTTACTTGACTGACTTCAATAAAAGATATTACCTCACGCACCTTGTCTCTCTCATATCCTGGGATCAACACTGCAAATAATTGTAGGGATACTGAACTGCTGGACACCTTAAAGGACAAGATATTCTTGCCCATGAATTATTGTAAAGGTCTTGAAATAATTTATGTTGGGCTTTATAAGAGTTGTGTTTTTTTAAACATAAAACCCATATTTTGGGCTTAGAGTGTCCTCTAAAGATGTGGGCCAAAATTATCCAAAGTGTCTGCCTAAAGTTAGCCTTCTAAATCTAATTTTAGGCAATTAAATTAATTACCTGATAGTTAGAAATGCTGTGAATGAGCCCCCCCACCCCTGCCCAAAAAGCATGACATCTAATGAAGCTTCAAGGTGCTCATCACTTCTGAAATTTAGGTCCTATATTTGGGTGCCTGAATATAGACATAGCCCTGGTCTACACTGGGGGGGGAGATCGATCTAAGTTACGCAACTTCAGCTATGTGAATAACATAGCTGAAGTCGATGTACTTAGATCAACTTACCGTGGTGTCTTCACAGTGGTGAGTCGACTGCTGCCACTCCCCCGTGGACTCTGCCTGCGCCTCTCGTGGTGCTGGAGTACAGGAGTCGATGGGAGAGTGCTTGGGGGTCGATTTATTGCGTCTAGACTAACTTTCAGCACTAATTTTGAAAAATCTTGGCCATGATACATCCACTTATTTAGGCTTTGATCAAACAAGCCAGTATCAGCTAACAGAATTTGAATCAGAGAGGACAGCTGTTTTTTTTAAGTACGATCCCTTCCTATACAGAAATACTGGCCTTTTTCTAGAGCACTGAGGAAATTAAAATCAGTCTTTGTACATTGACAATATAAAAAACAACAAAGGAGCAGCAATGCCTCTGCTTTCCTGCTGCTGTCCCAGACAACAATCCAAAGTGTGAGTCACAAGCTGGGACATCTTAATCACTAACTGCTGTACATTTGTACAGATCCAACTGTCATGCTCACACACACTGAGGAAAAGGAACAAGCAGGTAATTCTTTTATCTTTACAACATTGTTTTACTCTATCTGGCAAGGAAGGTAAAGACATTTTAAAGGTATTTGAACCTGACAAAGCATCAGGAATTTTACAATCCTGCACTGACCACTGGGGAGAGTATATGGGAAGTAATGGATTTTCTTTCCCCCCACCCCCCAGTGTAATATTTGTTATTCAAAGTTAGAAAAATCAGTTGCTATAAGTGTTCAAAATATATAGGCTGGAATTTTGAAAGAAGCCTAAAGGAAACTTATGTGGAAATTCAATGGAAGTTGGGCACCAAACTCCCTTGAACTCAGCTGATTGTGAAGTTTGATTTTTGATCAAGAGATACCAAATGCAATAAATATTGGACTAACACGTACATTTAAAAGCATGGAATGGGGAGAAAACTGATGGCTGCAATTGAAAAAACACCAAAGTAGATAATGAGGCAAGAGAGATGTGTTTTTAAGTTTCTAAATGTCTTACACAATATAGTTGTAATCACCTTTCTAAACTTCAAGATGGCATACAATTCCTTCCTAAGCTGGCCCACCAACATTAAGTTTTAGTGCAGAATTAACGTTTAAAGATAATTTATAAGCCACTCACAAAAGCTGGTTCATTAGGACACTGAATAAAGAAAAGCAGTGGGTGTAAGTGCACAGAATATGTGTTATCTCATTATTGTTAGTTAACACAAAGTCCAGACATGCACCCTTTAGATAAACAGCAGTTGGAGTCTAATATTCCACTGTAGAGCATTAAGGCTTGAGGCCTGAATTCCAGCATTGTTCAACTTGTTACCGCATGCAGCTCGCAAACTGGTGGGTAACAACTTCATGCTAGGGAAGACAGGTAGAAGCCTGCATGGGTGTCTCTTACTCAGACAGTGATCTCAGAATTACTCAAGAACTGATAATTGTTGAGGATCTAAACAGTGAGCTGGTTCCTTTCTCTTCTGCACACAGACCACCCATGCTTGTACCAAGGGGAGTGAGCAGACACCTGTGGGCCACATTTTCTGTGAGAAAGTACCTGCAGCCCTGAATATTTTATTGTTAACAGCTGCTGGATGGTGAACCAAAATCTTCCCATGATGGACAACAGATGGCTGTCTATAATATTTCTCTCTGAAATATGATTAGCTGATGAAATGTGTGAACTAGTTTATAAAATGTAATCAACACAAAACAGTCTCAGGGGTACACATACAATATGTACACAACACACTGTATTGAACAATCAGGACAAATAATAGACTGTCCACAAAGACTATTCCACAGAATGAACTCAATACTAACATCACTCAGGCAAAAGCATGAGATATGGGCCTTACGCCATAACCTGAAGGTCAACAGGGGGAGTGAGTTCTGGAGCAGAGGGCCCTCCACACTGGGGAAGTTCTACCAGCAGTCTCGAACCATACAATTCTAGGGAGCACTAGCAAAAGCCATCAGGTCTCCAAGTGTTGCACTAAAGTCTGTCCTCCTTCTAGCTACCCTACCCGAGAAGGAAAATAACTCTACAGAACATCTTATTTCTTTTGTGAATGTGATGAAAAATGTCTAGATAATAGGACAAAAGTTGGTAAAACCTTATCAACAGCAGCCATTTCAAAGCATTAAAAAAATTAAGTGCAGATCGATGGGTTAGTGCTTCTTAGGAACAGTGTAGCTATCCAGATTCAGGGCTGGGTTTAGCATTCTATTATTGCATAAAAATTTATGAGAAACAACATTTTCCTGTCACCTCAATGTGCAGATTCTGCTCCAAAGTCTGTCTCTCTAGCATTACTGCTATCCACAGTTCTTGTGTCTCAATGACTCCACAGCAAATCAGGTAAGTTTGCAAATAAAAGATGTGAACATTTGGTTTTAAATTGCCAGCCTTGCAGAGTCGGTTTGGGATTTGAAAGTCCAGATGGGCTCTTTCTAGTTTATGCACCACTAGTAATAATTAGTGACCAGGTCAAATTTGGCCTTCAGTTATACCTACACTACCCATTGTCTCCAAATAATTGCCCGAGTGTAACTTGAAAGAGAATTTGGGCTTGCAGTTAGAATTTAGTAAAACAATTCTGTTGCTAATGTACAGCAGGATTACTCCAGTTCACTGTTAGCTCTATAGGAATAGCTATAGTAAAAACTTTAGCTATTGAAGTGAGCGGATGCTCTGAATACACACAGAACAGATCTGTTGAGTAAGAAGGTACCACTTCAACAAGGACCTCAAGACTTTTTAATCAAGTTTACTGTCAGCCTGTGACGAAGTGTGGATTTCCCTTGTTATGTTGTATGAGAGTCTTACTGTTGAGACTATGTGACTTTTACTGTTTTGTATGAATACTGTGTGTGCCTCAGTTTCCCTGTGTGCTGCACCAATACCTCAATGGCGGGAATAGAAGTGTGTGACTTTGGCTGAGACCTCTGGGGGAGGTGAAGCTGCTCCAGCTGCCTGCACATATGCTATGACTGGTGCCCTTTGTAACCTGAGACCCAGAAGGGGGATGCAACCAACTAGGTGACTGCTGGGGAAGCGAGCCAAAGAGAAGGAGGAACAGCAACGGGGGTGTCTGAGGTCGGGTTGCTGGAAGCTGGCAGTCTGTTTGAGGAGACTGGAAGAGGGAGAGTCCAGGGTGCCTGGCCCAGGACTCCCCATGATGGACTTGGCTTAAAGTCACTGATTTCTGTGCCAACAAGTTCTGTTCTACGCTGTGTTCCTGTTGACCAATAAACCTTCCATTTTACGCTGGCCAAGAGTCACATCTGACTGCGGAGTTGGGGTGCAGGGCCCTCTGGCTTCCCCAGGAGCCCTGCCCGGGCAGACTCGCTGCGGGAAGCACACAGTGTGGAAGGGGATGCTGAATGCTCTGAGGTCAGACCCAGAAAGGTCAAAGCTGTGTAAGCGTCTTGCCCTGAAGCCAGTATGCTCAGAGAGAGGAGGCATGCTCCCCCAGAGTCCTGGCTGGCTTCATACTGAGTTGTCCCAGAGCATCACCCTGGTGACTCTGTGACAACTGGTGGCAGTGGGGGGATAAACTGCACCCAATGGACAGAGCATCCTGCAGTAAGTGACTGGGGAGCAGTAGAACGAAGGGGGATTAGCGAGAGACAGGTGCGCTGAAGGCTCTGAGCAGTGTGGTTCCAGGAGGTGGAGGAGCCTACGGCTTAACCCTGAGAGAAAGTGGACCCCCGAGAAGGGCTGTCACACTGAATGGATTTGTGACGCATGGCTAGAAAGGGTTAAACATCCTCAAAATAATTAACCCACAGAAGACATGTGGGGAGGTAATGTTTGTGTTTTGGTATATTTATATATGTATGAGTAGGGTGGACAATGTAATCAACAGTCCCTGTCTATGCTGTATTCTGATAATTCAGAGGTCTAAAGAACATCCTATCATGTAAGTGAACTGTAAACACAGGATGTCTCAGTATTCATCTGTCTTTGAAATGTACTGTGAATGGTGGAGGAACAAGA